CCTGTTTTACAGGGAGGCTCACACAGTCAATCAGAGACACAGTGAAGGTTGAGGGAGAGAGTTGCAGACCTCACCCCTGCCAGGGACAGTAACTGGATAGCCATGTTAACTGCACCCCCCAGAACAGCATATCATATAATAATAATAATAATAGCTTATTTCTCTAACACTGAGACTGAAACTACACAGGTATGCTTAAAGTAGGAAAGCAAATAAGCTCTCTAGGCCTGTCTTCATGAAATTAGCTTCTCTCTGTAATTGAAGGGTAAGCTCCTGACCCCAACAGTCAATGGTAAAACTCCCAGCGATGTCAATGGGGCCGGGACTTCACACTGTGCACACACTTTACCCTAGAAAGCCCATCAGCTCAGGACTCTCTGCAGTGTCACAGAGCACCTTGCTGAGGTGCCTGCAAGGAGCCTGAGCAGCCAAGGTCCTTCTCACAGGAACTCCCCTCTCACTTCGCTTTGCTGGGTCTCAGCTTTGCTGGGCCTGGCAGGACACCCTAAGAGACTAGGGGCTGGTCATGGGGGACTTCTCTGAGGTCAAAGCAGGCGTGAGGCTGGAAAGGAAGTAGTCCAAGGAGGCAGAGTAGTAGGAAAGGATGTAAAAAAAATAAATAAATAAATTAAAACTGGACAAAGGATATATGCCACTTGGCTCACGGTCCACGCTGTTGAAGTAGCTCTTCTCCATGCCTGGCTCCTAAAGGAAGATTATGAGCTGGCAAGTGTCAGATCACAGTGTCACAGTGCACAAGCAAGACCACAAACAGAGCGTAACTAGCCAGCACCATGCTCTAAATCATGGCATAGCACCGGCCACTCTCATGGAGGCTCCTTCCTCATTATCCCACCACTGCACGAGGTACCATAAAACTCTTGTTACTCGCCCACTGCCAGGGTAAACAATTTCCTAATGCTTTTGTAACTCCTGCGTTTTCATTTTGTGGGAGTACTTCTATCTGTTTTCATGGGTATGTGGGGATAAAAGCTGCATATAATAATCTGTTCCTGGGTCCCAGCGCTTTGGGGCAATGTTTCAGAACCAAAGGCACAGAAAGGGAAAGAAAATCTGTGATTGAGACTGAAGGATGTAACACAGGACATGGATGGAGACAGCTGGGCAAGCCTAGAAAATACCCTGGTGATAAATGTCTCAGCTCATAGAAGGGGATGGGAGAAACTGCTAGAGGTGAGTTTGTACCGAGGCAAAAGGGCTGTCTCCAAGGCAAAGCAAAATGAGGTTAGCAAGGCTTTGCTGAGGAGAACCGCTGACCCCCACAACATCTGCTTTTTCCCTGGCTAGACCATCTTTATCCAGCTCTACCCAGTTGCCAGTTGGCTTGTCTAGCTTATTGTCCCCAGAAGGACTTTCCCAAACTTGCCAACCTTAGGATCTCAGCAGCAAAGCATCAAGGCAACCGCCTGCAGCCTTCCCAAGAGGATGCCAATTCCCACTGCCCAGCATTGCACGCTTCCCCAGCCTTCCTGCCCGTCACAGTGCCACTGCAGCCCTCCAGCAGCAGCTCTAATCCCTCCTGATGTGTCCCTGGGCCAAGAAGATGGAGACAGAGCTGCCTTTGGAGAAGGAGAGCCTCTGGTCTGCCAAGAGGCAGTGAGGTCCTGTTGGGGCAGCGAGCTAGGCTGTCACCCACTGCCGGGAGTCTGGAGCATCCTCTCTGCTGCGCCCTGATTAGCCTCCTCTGCCTGGCAGCAGGGGCACAGGAGATTTCCCCACACAGCACTAGCAGGAGCTGGGACCACTTCCACCACTTTGCCACCCAGAAGCTGGGATTTTCTTGAGGACACCTCACCTTTGGGCCGGCGCTCCCTGGCTCTGCTCCCGCAGATGGCTCAGGCAGTAACCAGACCTCCACCAGCCCCACGACACAGGCGACGGCCATGCACTGCCAGACTGAAGTGCTGCTGCCAGCAGCAGCTGCTCAGCACCTTTTAAGCACGTCCCGTTCTCCCTCTGGGAGTTGGCTCTGCAACCCTTTCCCAAACGGCAGCTGGAGCTGCACAAGGCACCCTGTCCTGGGGGCTGCCCGAGCCCCTCATGCATGCCCCATGCCCGCTGCAGCTACCAGCATCCTCACTGTTGTTTGGCCAAGCCCCTCACTTCCCCATCTTGTCCCCACACACATTCATGTAAGCAGGAGCTGCACCCCAGCCTCATGACCTTGCCTTGCTTGTCCTCCTGCAGCACCATGGTGGGACACCCTCAGGGCAAGATCATACAGAAAGCCCTTAAGTGCTCGGGGTGGCCAGAGCCCCAGGCCTGGTCTGGTCCTCAACACGCCCCAGCCTGCCGTTTGTTGGTGGGTACACGCTAAACAACGACTGTTAACATACACGGTGCCAGGTACCACCACAGAGCGAGAGCCTGCAGGAGGTCCGGCCCACCATACCACGCAGGAGGCTGCCAGGCAGAAGTACAGCAGATAGAAACAAGAGGCACTGGTCACACGAAGGGTCTCTCCAGCAGCATCTCCAACTGTACCCTGAGGACACCATCCAGCAAGGACAGGCAGTCCTGAGGTAACCAGCCGCTGAGGCGAGAAAAGGGGCAGCACTTAACAACTCAGTGCTGCAGAGAGAGAAAGAAATCCTGTCCACACAACTTCTTAAGAGCCTGCAGGAAAGCTGTGGGGCTCCCATTTGAAAGCCACATGTGGCTGAGAAGACACACAGAGCTGAGGGCCAGCTGTGAGACGCACTCTTCAGCCACAGCCACTGGTGACTGGAAGAGGACTTTAGGGTGCTCAGCCATGGGCAGATGGGGCCGCAGGCTGGCTCACTGGCACACAGACAAAGGTCCCCTCATGCAGAGCAGGGGGGTGGCAGCAGCCAGGAACCAGAGTTCAGTTCACAGCAAAGCCCATGCAGAAAGCATAGACCTGAAGAAATCAACAAAAGTACTTCATCATTTTATTGCTAAAATCCCTACCATAAATCTCACCAGAGAGGAAGTTTCTGTTTCTCCAGCTTCCTACTTGGTGTCCTTGAGAAAATAAATGACACCACACTTAAAAAAAAAATCCCATAGTGGTTTACTCCACACTTCCCTGTACCTTGTTATGCTGAGTGCTTCATTTAGAGAAGGTTGACCTCCCCAGCCTTCTTCATCCCAGTGCCCTTCGCTGCGGGGACGCACCAAGGAACAGGTTTAGCACTGGAGAGAGGAGCCGGGTGGATGTTCCAGCGCAGGTAACCCTGCCGACTCAGCATCCCAAAGGTGTGCAGAGAGTCAGCGTGACAGTGACTGCTGTCTGAGAGGTGATTTGCACAGGAGATAGAGGAGCCGTGCTACAAGCACAGAAGCTGTGAATACAGCCATTAAAAGCAAGCAAAGTTATGCCCCTTGTATTTCATGAGATGCAATTTCTTCCATAGGTCTGGGCAGAGGCTCTGGCTCACCTCACAGCAATTCTAACCAGCACAAGCCTTCAAAGGTTTTGTCTCACAAGTTTTTTTTTTTAGTAAGACAGAAAAAACATTACAGAGCAGTTCAACATAGTGCAATGAATTACCACTTTGAGATGTCCTAAGTGTGTTATCTGCCTTACCTGAACACCCACAGAAGAATAGGAAAATCTATAGGCTTATTTTACTGTGTTTTACATAGGCTCTCACCAATTCCTGTGAACAAAATGGCACTGATTTGTTTTGCTATCAGTCATCAGGTGTAACAGAAGGAAGGTGGAATGGACTTTGCACTACTTAACAGTCAACAAAAGAAAGATGTGCACCACAGAGCTTCACCAAAATGAAGATATCTAGAAGATTTCAAGTCATAAAAGCCAAGGACAAAAAGCACTGATTAGGTAGGAAGGATTGTCTTAAAGAACTAAATGTAAAGTTCAGAAACTCAAGGTCTGAATTGGGCTTGAAAGGTTTTGTTTATTAAAGGAATATATGTAATATATGTACAACACAATACATATTAAAGGGGAGGGTGGGAGGGGGAAGAGAGAGAAGCAGGATTTTTTGTGCAATTAACTCCAGACTGTGCTTCCTTTAGCAAAACCATTACTTCAGTCAGTGGAAAGGTTAAGAAAACCAGTAACTTCTCAAAGGCTCATTTCTGGAAAGCCATCTTGCCAAGTGCCCCAATCCTTCTAGTCTCTGTGATCGAGATTTCCTCACTAGCAAAGTACTTAAAAAAATAAATATTTTTGTGTTATTAACTAAACCAAATGCTTTGCAGTGAGAGTGACTGGTCGTCTGGTTTCTGCTAGAACACCATTTTCCTTCTGCTGCTCAGAGAAACCAGCTAGTGGTCCTGTGCTATCTTATCCTGCCTTTGCCTGCAACCAGCACACAGGCACAACCTGAACAAGAGAGCACTTTAAAGTAAGATGGAAAGTTGGGTTTTTTTACAGTTATCACCAGGCTAATGCAATGGGACAAATCAACATGGGCAAGGACATTATCTGGTGGCCAGGTTAGAGAGCCCCAGGGATGGAGTCAGGCGGCTGAGGGAAGGGAGGCTTCCCTTGAGCAACAAGCCCTCTCCAAAGTCACAGTCAGGGCAGTGCTGGAAGGAAGCTCTGGATCAGCTTGGTCTCTGCATTAGAGATTTCCGACCCGCTCAGCGCAGGAAGTTGTTCCTGTGGCTCACCTGAGGGAGTTCCTGTTATGAAGCCAGAGGGTGGTAGGTTGAAGCACAGTTTCTGAGAGTGATGTAATCTTGGACAGCACTCTGTAGGCAGTAATACTAGTGACCTGGTTACAACCTGCGGTGTTGTTACAGCCCCTCTGCTGGCCTGGTGATCACAAGAAAGGGAAGAAAGAAAAAAAGAGGGGAGTGGAATAATTTGAAAAGGAAAAAAAAAGTTTCCAGATTTCCTTTGTTTAAGTGAAGCATTTTCCTTTTCCACTTTATTTGAATACACCGACCTGGTGTCTAACAGATGGAGACTGTGCAGATGCACTTTTGGGAGTGCCCATAAAATACACTGCTAAAATACAAATGGAGGGATTTTTTTTTTTTTTTTTTTTTTTTTTGAGTTGTAAATTCAATAATCATTGCTGTCACCTCACTTTCCCAAAGGAATTTGGCCTTTGTTCTCCGGATAAAGCTGGGGAAGAGAAGAAGAAGAAAAAAAAAAAAGAGTGAGAACGAAGAGAACATTTAGGAAAAAACCCACAGATCCATAATCCGTGCAAGCATCACAGCATACAGCATTTGTACGTCAGGAACTCATACAAGCATGGCTGCTTAGCAGCACACAGCAAAATATTCTGCATGTCTTATATTCTTCTCCTATTCTCCAGACCTTTCTAACAAACAAACAGGTCAGCTAATTGGCTCACAACCAAGTCTTACCCACTAGGGTTTGCTCAAAGATGTCACTTAGTCATTTGGCATAAGCAAATCCCAGGCTTCTTCCTGTTCGAGCAGCGGCGTGGGTGAAGGCTTTCTTTGATTTATTAAGACTATTAACAAACAAACAGGAGAGTTCAGAAGCTTCCTCAAGCAGAAGAGCAGGAACAGAAAGGTTTTTTCCTGAAGTAGCAGCTAAAAATAGGACACTTAGAGGAAGTAAAGTTCATTAAGTGATAAAGTGGTGGCTGCAGTGATGAGAGAAGAGTTTTTCCTTTTTAATCTATACATTTATTTAGCATTATGTTTTCTTGCTCCGTATTAGAGTGCTAAAGCAGTGTTTATCCGGCTGAGGAAAAGAAGATTTCCCTCTCTGTAGTGACTTTAACATGTAGCTCATCAAATACAACAGAGTCAAGAGTTTTAAACAGACATTGCCAGCCAACAAAGTACAACATTTGACAACATTATTTGCCTTTTATATGCTCTTTCCACAGTGGGAAATGATATGCCATTTTCAAGACACATTCCACAGTATTATGCAACAGCTTTCTTAATTTTTAATGGATATATTATTTTAATGTGTCAACTTTCGCATAAAGCGTTTTAGTATTTTATTCAGCATATACCATTAATAAATTATTTGCTCCTTCCTTCCCCCACCCCCCCGCAAAGAGCTGCACTTAGCATAGGGAGATGGTCTGTTGACACTGTAAAAGATACTTTCAACTGGCACAGCCTGTAGACACTTCCATCATCAGACAAAGCACCAGGAGCACGTCTGTTTCTACTTAGTCGACAAGCTGGCAGTACTAAACATGCTGCCCAGGAGTTTCATCACAAACCACCCTTTGGTGAGAAGACTTACACACACACATAGCAGCCGGTCGCTGTAAAAATAAACTAGCACCCTATACAACCTGTGATTCCTGATAAAAGTGTTCACTTTTGGCCCGATTGCTCCAGCGTCCTTTAGTCATCACATCCAAAGGGTTTGGGGCATCCAAAGGAAGCAAGTCAGGGTGCTTCTGTGCCAGAGAAACTTGACCACTTGACCTGAGTTTGTTCAGAGGTCATGCACCTCTCATCTCAGCAGATCTGCCCATTCTATAAGGGCAAAAAATGGATGAGATTTGATGTCTTCAACACCCGCAACGCCAGCACCAAGACGCTCCGCAGGATTAAACTGCAAAAGCTTGATATAAAAAGAAAAATAGATATGTGATTCAGTGAGTAAGAACAAAAACAACTGCTTAAAAGTTCCAGAAAGGTCTAAGGTAAGGGACATCCTACCGTTTTCCTTCTCTATGAATTACTTTCAAGAGCGCAAAAGCATACTTGAAATTCCTAAAATCCAGTAAATGGAAGAAGACTCTCCTTTCCTTGAGTCTCAGTGTTACAGTCTTCAGAGACTACTGATCACAGCATGCAATTCCCTGAAGCACTGCACATTGGGACTTCATTTTAAGTGTAACCTCATTTTCATTTTAATTTTTACCTCCTTTTTTTTTTTTTTTTTTTTTTTTTTTTTTTTAAAAAAAGAAGAGAGCAGCAGCCAGAGCTTGCATTGGCAGAACTCTGGACACTGCGCTTGCTTCATGTTAACCTTTGCTCACACCACTGCGTTATGGCTACATCAGGGATAGTGGTCTGTAACTTTCCGTTTCATAAATCCTGAGCTGGTCCTAAAATACCAGGATATTACAGCCAGTTCTCCATTTAAAAAAAAAAAAAGAAAAAAAAGAAAAAAAAAAGAAAAGCTTTTGAGAGTCCTACACAAATGGACTAAAACTTAAAAATCAAAACCCCAGTGAAACAAAACAGTGTAATGGCTTCATGGAAATTTCCTAAAATTCAGCACCTCATTTGCTTGTTAGTTGTACATCACATGCTGAATTCATGTGAAAAGGAAATCACAATATTTACATCTGTTTAAAGATACCAATTCATATAAAAGGGGATGCAAAGGTAATACTCCAAAGAGACTAATAAAGACACAAAAAAATATTTTGCCGTTTTATAGAACTGTTTATACTCTATTCAGTTACAGTCAGTACAAAGGCATGATTTCTTTGCTGCTTTTTCTGCAAGAGCTAATAGGGTAACTTCTCCCAGTTGTCACTTGGAACAATGTGTATTCATATCTTAATGCACTCAACATCTAAGTGAGTCTACATCCATAAACATAGGAATTTACACATTTTAAGATGGCTCTGCTATTTGCAGTCACAATGTCACATAGTAAAGGTAGCTCAGTGACAGTGAACAGTGCTGCTCTGGTATCTTCCACAAGCCAGCAGAAACAGATGCAGACACGGTCTCTGCCTTCTGCTGAAATACAACCAGCACCAGCAGGGGGAAAGTAAGCACGGACACTTATTTTCTGGAGTTTGTCCTTCCAGAAGAACTTTAATCTTGGAAAGCAGATGTGACACAAAGGACAACAGGTACCCATTGAAAAGTCATGTTGCATATTTTGTTGGTAGTAAAGCCTGGAAGTGCCTGAGAAAAATACTGGGTGCAAAATACCAAACCAACAAAAATATCAACTTCATCTTTCACTAGAAATAAACAGATCTCTGTTTCTTAGAAGCTGGCTAAATGAAGGAGGTGTTTAGTAATGAAGTCACCTGCACTGGAAGCCACAGCAGGAGACAACGCCTGACAATCTTCTGTATAGCTGAACATTGATCCCAGAGAGTTATTCTGTGATGCTTTGACCTGTTTACCCTTGGCAGTGGGGGGAAGGAAAGTCGCAATGACAAATTGCTACCCATGCCAAGAGAGCTTTCTTCCTTTTCCTGACAAGGCTTCCTCAACAATGAATGGCAGCTTCCTTGGATAGTCACACAACAAAAATGTGATTTACTAGCTCATACAGCTGAACCTCCACCAGATAAGTCACCACCCTACACTAGAGGGCTTAACCTAACAGGCACTATGGTGACTGTTCTCTGAACCGTTAACGGCCTTGTAATGTACCTGCAAGTGGCAGAGATATATTTGCCACTTAAACCACAAGCGACAGAAGAGCCACTCTTTGGCATATTTGAAAATAGGTGATACATTAGGCTGCAGTGAAGAACAATCCTACATTGGGAGAGAGAAGTGGACTGGATTACTTCATTTGTTTTCACTCCTAGTAGTAACAGTAGGAACTCCCTTCATTAAGTGTGGTTTTGCTTTCCCTTAGCCATTTGTGTTCTGTAGCACCTGTGGGTGAGGGTAACGATTTGATACCAACCAACAATAGAAATGCAGATTATACAAAAATTGGATTTTTCTTTAGTCACTTCCCTTTCTACCTTTGCCAGAAACACGCAGACCCATGCTTCCACCTTCAGTGACTTCGTATCACCTAGTAAAAACAGGAGGTCCAAACATCTAGTTCCATTTCCATGAACCATTTCACAGTAGTGACACAGAAATCAGTCACTGCATCTTTTGACTCACTGAATTTTTAAAACCTCTTTCCTTCATTTTCTTCAAGAACTATTTTATCCACTCTGCTCTGTTCAAATCTACATCTAAGTGACATCACTACTTACACACCCACCAGCAAGATACTCTTGAAAGCCAAACAACACAGTTCACATGTATCACTTATTCTACTCAAGTCAAATAGGTCAGATCCAAGCTCCAACTCCTCAGTTCTGTCAAAATTAACTAGAAGGATGATAGCACTACCTGAAATTCAGGACCCTGTACTACAAGTTTGTTCTCTCAGTCACGAGTACCTAAAGCTAAGAGTAAACTAAAACCAGTAGTCAGTACTGTTTACATTAGTTTGAAAGTGGTGCATCAGTCAGGAAGGTCATCTATATTTTAAGGTTTCCCACTCTGCCTTTTGTCAACCTACCAGTTATTGTTCTTATTACAAAAGTCATTGTATTCACAATTTAAAGTACTTTTCTTAACGAATAGTATCCAGAAGGTTTCCTGGAGGACAGCTCCAGATTTTCAACCACAACAAGGTCATAACTTCTAATCAGTGTGTTATAGTTTTCATAGTACTGAGAGCTACCTTGCTGAATTGGCACCTATGTTTTTCAGTTTCATTCAATTCATTACAAATGTTTCCATGAACATTTAGGGCAGAATTCCTAAAATGTTCATGCATCACCAGCAGGTGGTTCCAAAGCACCTGCATTGATCAAACTTGTTATTTGAAGAAATGGCAAAGCACTCCAGTTTTCTACAGAGACACCTGACAGCAGAAGTCAAAAGTTTCCAGAGGCAATAAGACAGTCAGGTAAAATTTATCAGTGCTGACAAAAGACCCATCCACATTCCTATCAGCAGCTTTCTGTTTTTACATTTACTTCATTGGAACAACTTAGGTAGATAAGTATTTGTCCAGTCCACACGTACACCTAGAGAAAACAAATTTTCCCCTCAATTACCTGCTGAATCAGTGATCTGGCCTCCTTTGATACATGGTCTGGAATACTCAGAGAAGTGTGAGTGTTTATTCCTGATGGATGGCACTCAGCCAGAGTCTGGAGAAGAAAACAAACAAAAAAAGAAAACAAAAATAAACCAAAGCAGGCAGATACATTTATTAATTAAAAAATTGTAGTGTTGTATTATCTCCTAGCATACACGCAAATCAACACACACAGCTAAAATTTCAGTGCTTCCTAGTATGGAGTACTGATTCTGGGAGGAATGTCTACAGGCACGGATGTCCCCTGGAGATACGGCTTTAGAACATTTACGTCTTAGTGCTTGTGCTCTACTGTTCAAACTTGAAGAGTTTGAATTTGGGAATTTGGTGGACTTTGCTTTCTTCAAGGAGAACTGTCAACTAATCACCAGTTTGATTTGGTTGAGCACTCTGTCTCAAAATACTGAATTCATGTGTAACAGCAACATATGGCTTCTATACTGTCCCAGGAAATAATACTGAAACTATTAGGGCAAAAAATTTTGTAAACATATAGAAGGAATGTTAGAGAACTTTTATTTCACTGTGGTTAAGAGGGAAGAGTGGTTTTTGGTTATTTTTTCAGTCTTGAGTTTCATACAGCTTTATCAAGCTGTTCTGCTGAAGCTTGAGCACGTTTTGTTTCTCTGGTCCCAGACAGACCAAGCAAATTGAGGGTACTCAGGTCAGCAAAGCACATTTGAGAAAGACAAGCAAGGAAATCACAACTGGGCACATGACTTGTGAGAAACTACTGGCCAAGAGGTCAGTTTTATCAAGTAACTTGCCCCCAGCCCTACCTTCCCCGTGAGAAGTTCGAAAAGAATGGCACCCAGGCTCCACCAGTCACAGGCTTCTGTCTCTTCGAGGATAGCGCCAACCTCTAAACACAAGACATTTCAATTAATATTAAAAAGGTCAGTTACACCTTCAAAATTAACATATATTTACAAGGTGACTGTTTAATGCTGACAGAACATATACTAAATACCACAGAGCTTTCATTATGCCTGCAATTTAGTTAGCCCTTTAGCCACCTACAGATTGCATTGTTCAAACACAGCAACACTACACATTTCATGCATAATTTCCCTTTTCCATGCATACACAGGCATTTTCAAGACTTGTAGGCAGTCCAATATAGAAGAGTCCTAACTGTAATAAAATTGGACAGTAACAGTGAAGTAAAACATATTCAGAGAATTTACCGTGGTCAGAAGAGCTGGACTGACCAGTGTGGCCTGAAGTATCCATAAAAGCAGCACAAGGGAGGTTGTAATAGTCTACTGCACACCTTAGATTTTGCCTTTGAGGGCAGGATTTATCTCATGGCTAACCCAGACCCTTTGCTGGGATCACCACAGGAGGCTTTTCACAATAGCCTCTTTTGTCTGTTGGGAACCAGATAGAGATGCTAAATCTTCTTCACACAGCCTAACCTCAGCCAGCAACTGTGTATTGCTACAGTTCAGCCCAAACTGTACCTAGGTACAAAAAGTTGTTTTTCCTTCAAGCATCCAGCCAGCACCCAACACTCTTATTGCTGGCCATGCACAAGAGACGGCAGACAGGTGAGATGGGAGTCACAGAGTTCCGTGTCATATACATTCACGTATTCCATAGCATGATGCATGCAGAAAACTTGGCCTCCACTGACTCAGGCTTTAAACTACAAAAATTATTAAATACAAACACACCACGCTGTCTGCTCTAAAACAGCCAGAAAAACAGATTGCAATGAAGATGAAATCTTCATTTTGACTGTCAAAAAATTGCAGAAGCTGCACTAAAATAGCTTTGGTGGCAAAAGCCACCCCAGCTTCCCAGCAGAGGACACCAATTAGCATATAGTCACATAGGCATTGCTGTGAAAAGCATTGTGGCATGCTCGAAAAATCTTGCTCATCATTTTATGGAGCTTAGCATGAGCATGGCCAAGGAGAACTACATATGAGTCACACTCCAGGGTCAGGGAAAGGAAAAAGGCAGCCTCAGACCTCCCCAGATGCAGAGATGCACACACATGCTGAGCACGGGGATGTGCAGGGGGCTGCCCCTCAGGCAGCTGCTGCCCCAGCTGGAAGATCCTCAGCACCTTCTAGGACTAGGCTAAGGTTGCTGTTGCAAGAGCAACAAGGAAGGATGGCTCAGACATTGTTTCTTTAGGTAGGACATCCCTCACATTGAAAAGTTTATTATAGTTAATGGTGTTTGAATGCCCAATACATCACTACAAGGGTGCCACACATGAGAATGTATTTCATTCCTTACAGATTAATACTTCTATCAGTACTGAGAAACTTCTACAAAGATAAAATGGCAGGCACATGAGGAACTATATCAGCATAATTACATGCATTTTTTAAATGTTTTAAGATCCCAGGCAAGGATCTAGATGAAGACAAAATCGTGGTAAATTCAGAGAATTTGTGTAAAAAAAATCAAAATCTGCTCTTCCAATTTAATTTTACATCCTTTTAGAAAAATTGTCTTTTAAAAACAAAAAAGATAAAAAAAAAAAAACAAACTTGGGCCTTTCCACATGAACCAGCTGACAAAATGTTTTCACAGCATCTCTCAGTGAAATGGAAATGCCTTTCCAGTCTGATCACGATTTCCTAGTGCTGTATGTTCCAATTATGTACATATAAAAACAAGAAAATATGAATGGCAAGTAAAATCTAAAAGCAAACACTTTAGACTTCTTTAGAGCAGAGTTTTCTTTCCTGTGTGACTTTAATCCTGTGGATATTCTAGACTAAGAGAGCTTTCTTCCAAACAAGTCAAGATTTTTCTTTTTAAATTAAATTCCACATTTATCCCAGAATAAGGACAGTAAAGCCAGGAGTTCATTAGGATTGACTACTATGTTCTCAGTTCCGACACTACCATTAACTTCCCCATATTGACATGTTACATTTTAGAATAATGCCACAAAAGGAGATAACTCATTCTTCCCCAAAGATGTTTAGTGGGGACAAGCCCCTTGAGTTACAGCCCAATATATTAAAAAAAAAAAAAAAATATCATCATTCTGATCACAGGGAAAAGAAATATTACAAAATTTAATTTCTGAGTTTTGGCATTATTTCCTTTTTTGTTGGCAATCACAGATGCTGATCCAGTTCTTTGAAGTTTCAAACTTGCACTGTCTTCTTTCACAGAATCACACATTATTCATTACAGGAAGTCGATGTAACCTCACTTAGTCCACTGATGAAGAAAATGGACACAGAGTAAGAGTCAAGAAAGTCAAAAAGTAAACTGGAGTCCACTTCTCCAAAATCCAACACTTTCAGTATATGCCAGGTCAAAACAAATGCCATCACAGGTCTCTAACAAGAGCAGCACTGAACTCCATTCACTTTTGACTGTGACCAAAAGGACACAAATGGGATCAAAATGAGAACAGTCAAGTAACAGAGATCTCTCCCCGGGCTGAGGGTTTAGTTTCTCATGCACACAGCAGAAACTGTGTGACAAGTCATCTGAAACACAACAGAAAATCGAAAACTCAGCTGATGGGAACATCTGAGTATCCTTTTTCACAAAAACTAAATTTTAGCTCAACTTTTTTCCTATTAGCCCATGTCTGCTTTCCTGCTGCTTTCTAGGTCCCAAAGTTTCCTTACTTCAGATTAAAAGGAATGTTTTCCTTGGAAAAAAAAAAATCATTGTGAATACTACAAACAAACATGTGTTGTTTACATTCCCTTACTTCGAACAGCATCAATATTGCTGCATTTTATCTTGACTACACATCATGGGAAAATTTAGAAACTATAGATTATGAAGTGCTTTCAAGTGATACAGAGTAGCTAGCTAATGTAATATACCACACAGGGCACATGATTTTTTTAAAGCTTTAATATTCCAATAAATCTGAACTACAATATAGGCCTTCACTAAGAAAATATTTTCATCTCAATCCATCAGCAAAGTAATTTAGACAATAAATGGTAGCGACCCATGCGCTTAAGTGAATAACATGGGGATATTTGTGCCAATTCTTTACTTCATGAACCTTGAAATCAAGGACCTTATCCATGTTTGTACAAACCTAAATGTGCACACACGCGCACGGTGTTGTTGTTTCGAGGACTCACAGTACAAAATTCGCAGAAAAAATATTAATATAATTTTCAAATACAAAATCCTTTTAAATTGGAGAAATAAAAAAGTAGAACGAAAAAAAATCAGTAGCTCTTCCAACTTTACTGTAACTTCATTAAAAGGGAGAGCTTTCTTCTTTTTCCCTTCCCATTGCACGCCCATATGACATCTAGCACAAAGGAGCACATGTCAACAGCAATGCTAAATTCCTGCACAAAAGCAATTTCAACAGCAGCCATTGGGAAGGGGATTTGTAAAACACTATCAGGTTCAGATCAAGACAGATGGTATAGGTAAACACCTTCACTACCCAGCACTGTCCTCCTTCCAGAGCAGCTGGTCTCGACTGAAAGGTCATTTCTTTATGGTTTCCATACTTATCTCAATATTTGCATTATACACAGTAATACCTTACTTCCTGATAAGGGATACATGGCTGACAACACTCTCTATTTTTAAATAGAAGTGACAGTTCTAAAGTAAAAAAGCAGAACTTCACCTCTGTTGAACACACATCCTCAATAAAGCTATTAACTGTAACACCAAGACTGATTTTCTCATTCTTTCTACAGCACCTTCACCTGAAATATACCCTACATGCTGAAGGATGCAAAAGGCTTTTACTACCACACCTGAAACTTTTTCTCCTAAATACAGTTTCCTCCACAGCTGAGGCCTCCTGACCAGCACACACAAACACTAGTTAACATAAACGAAGCCAGGCTTAATGGTGGACTTAAGGATTCACTGTGCAACTGAGGCCAGGTGGCTTGCAATCACCAAGAACAAAAACTCAATCAAAAACTTTGTAGGATAAGTAGTAACATCCAAAAAAAAAAAAATGCATCTGAAGTCAGCTCACAAGAAAATAGGCTGTAGGTGGAAGTACTGCTTCTCCAAACACCTAAGAGCCAGGAAGGGCTTGGCATTGAGGTGGTTTTCCTGGGATTAAGAAGGGAATAATTTGATTCTTCGTGGATTGATAAAAAATTCAAAACCTGAGGAGGCCTTTTCCTTTACCCAATGTTTCAAGCAGAAACAGCATACCTTCAAATATTGTTTCTGCACTGATAAGAAAACAAGGAGACTCATCTGAACTACCATCAGGTGTCTGAAACTGTTCAGGAAGAAATGTACTTGTCCAACATCCTGGAAACATCAGACACAGTGTTTTCCCCTTCTGTGGCCATTAAGATAAACAGTATTGCATGAAAAACCATTAGAGTCACTTCAGAAATTCTATTTACCTTACACTCATTTAATTTTAAAAGCTTACTATTTAATCATATTTTAATATCTATATATGTAAAGAAGCATTTGCAGAGAACCAAGTAAAATGAGTCCAAACTAATTTACTCTAGGCAGACTCAGTCAGCCAAGATATCGTAAGATACAGTCACTAAATAACACATCACAAGCAAATTGGCCATAATGCTTTGCCTAAAATGCTCCAGCAATTTATAAAACACAGTATTGAACCATCTATAGTTAAGTATAAAAAGTTAACGTGGTCTTTAAACAATAAAGTAGCGAGGCAACTCCAATGAACATCTGCTAAGATCAAATGGAGTATGAAAATAGGATGTTTAATCTTAAAAGTATTCAAAAAAAACCATATGAGCATCTATGTTCCTCTTTGGAAGAAATTTCCTCAAGTTACTAAAAGAAAAAAAAATTAATAGAGGGAACTGTGTTTTCTTCCTTTTAGCAGCCCAAGATAGAATTAAAACTTCCTCTAAAATAATCAAGTGACAAAAGAGACAAAGAAAC